CATGAATCAAGACACGGATGAGGAGGACGACGAAGAGGATGAAGACGATGATGACGAAGACGAGGAAAGCGACAGTGATTCTGAGCTGGAAAACGATGTAGGGCTCTCTGCTGAAGTTTCGGCATTACGCAGCTCTGCAGATAATAGTGGTGTTGCCAACCTCTTTCAAGATGACGAGGCAGCCACGGCTGGTGCAGCCACTGCTGGGGGCAAAGACATCTACGATTTTGATGCTCAGAGTATACTCTCAGATAGACGCTTTAGAAATTTGCGCCGTAAAAGTGCTCGGGCTGTCGCTCACACAACTCAAAAGGTTCACGGCACTCGACAGGTTCGGAGCAGTAATGCAGCTGCCACTAGCTGGGGCTCAAACGTGTACAGCGCTTTGGCAACGTCATTGAAGACACGCTCTGATTTAGATGCCTATACAAACTTTTTGAAGTGTCCCTACCTGAATAGTACATTTGATTCAATGTTTGTAGAGATTTGCAAGCCCAGCAATCAGCACGCAGGATTATTCTTTGGGCCTTCCTCAAGCTTACAGAGTCTGATGGGTCGAGTGAACGATCCCGATCGAGTTGTTGAGCTTCTTCACGCATTCATGTCCAAGCCTTACGACAATCTCGCTAACCGACTTGTTTGGTTTGCTCCAATGACACACCAACAACCGGTTCCAATGTCAAATCTAACTCTGGTCAATCAGGAGCTAGCAACGCTCGCACCGACACTTGATCCTGATCTTCGAATTGAACCGGCCTACCTTTTGGATGGTAACCTAAACGTTTTAGTACAGACGGGCCCCCCATTCACCGATTTGGTTGTGTCCCTTGCGCAGTACAACGCTATCAACAGCGCTGGAAACGTTGGTCGTTTTATGACTGATGTATCTCAGATTGTTGTATCGAACGACTTTTATGATTATTTGAACGATCTGGTCGCCTTGCCGGTGGAAAAAATAATAGGTTATGCCGAGAGGGCTGGGGGAGACGACTCGGTCAACATCGATGCATTGGACCCTCCCTGTTTGCACCGATTAACCGCTGCCGTAAACCATGACAGTCAGCTCATTGGCATTGCTTTAACGGACACCTGGAGTCTTGATCGCGTACCGTTTTCACGCAATCGCCGAAACATAAACTTTTCGAATGGTGACCGAGCTGCTATTCCTATTTCAGAATTTGACCGCGCTTCAAAAGTAAACGCTGATATGTCGGTCGAGCTTGACGCGTATGCCGTTATGGAAAAAGTAATTGAAGCAGTTTCAAGGGGTCAGGAAACAGGGGCATCCGAGGGTGGTGAAAAAAAACCTGCCCCATCGGCTCATTTACAACGTATTCAT